GATTTCTTCTCTGGAAATTTGACATCAGTTAAAAGACCACCACGCATAAATATAGTTGGTTTACTTTGTGAGGATTCACAAAATCCCAACCCTTTGAGATCATCAAAAGGTTTACCAATTGAGAGTACTTTATCAAATTTCTCATTTTCTTTCCAAAGTCTATCATTTTCATTATTTAACTTCAGATTCTCAGACTTTAACTTCTCAAATTCAACAGCTTTTTCATCAACAATCTCCTTCATTTTTTCAAGTTCATCATCAAGCTTCTTTTTTTTTTTTTTTTTTTTTTTTTTTTATCTTCCAACCGATATATTGTGTCCAAAAATTCTTTATTTTTCACCACAACTTCTTCTGTTCGGCCACCATTTCCTTATAGGCTTCAATCAACTCATCAGCATCAAGTTCCTTGGCTCATCAGTTGTTTTAAAACTGGATCATTCTTTTCCTTTACTGGTTTCATCAACACTTTCCATAAATGCCACCACTTCATCATTTTTGTTTGTTCTTTACCAGTACTAGATTCACCATCTTCATTGTCACTCCATGTGGCTTGGTAAGCTCTCTTTTCTTTATTGTTGGACACTCGGATTTAATATGTCCAACAACACCACATCCATAGCAAGTAGGTAATCGAACCATCCTAGGTTTTGCAGACACCACAATCTTCTTCTTGAATCCACCATCGAATTTTTTCGGCTTGTTGTAAGTAGTTGGTTTTTGCTCAGGGTATTTTTGTTGTGAACTAGATGTATTCACTCCCTGATAACCATTTTTTTCTGGAATTTCTCATTCTTGAGCTTCACTGTTCGTTTATCATTTATCATCCTAGAAAGTTTTTTACTCGAAAGAGCCATTTTCTCATCAGATTCAATCAGCTTCATGTCTTCAACACTCAACGTCATACTTTTAGGAGTTTCATATTCAAGATAGTTCATCTCATAACTCACCGATGTACCATATAATTCATCTAAAGTCATACTTCTCAATTTCGAAGGCTCATCAAGCATAATCACTTTTGCCCTAAATTTTTTTGTGACACTTTTAAGCATATTTCTCACCGGTCTCTTTTCTTCAAAGTGCATTCCTAAAGCTTCTACTTGATTGACAACATCCATAAAGCAATTGTAGTATTCAGCAACAGTTTCATCTTTATTCATCTTTATCCCTTCGAACAATGTCTCCACAAGTTCCAGTTTTTATTCTAAAACTTGAATAGATCATTCGAATGCATTTTCCCAAATGTCCCAAGCTTCTTTAGCAACTTTGAAGTTAGATATTAGCTTCGACTGAGTTTCATCCACAATGTTGAAGATAGAATAAATGGCTTTCGAGTTAACGATCCCAACAGCTTTCTCATTCAACGTCCATTCCCGCTTTGGTTTCTTCAAAAGAGTGGTACCACCATCTTCATCTTGAATGGTTTTCATGGGGTGAGACCAGACAAACTCAACAGCATCGACTACATCTTCTCATTGAGACATAAAAAATGCTTCTATCTTGTTTTTCCAACTTTGATAGTTTGTTCTATCGAACAACGGAGGACATGAGGTCGAATCACCTTCCTTGCTCATCCTTGCAACTGTGAGAGGATCTACTTCCGAAGCATACTTATATCACAGTTATAACCCCCTACTACCAACCGTATGCATGCAGAAATACAAAGCAGTAAATGAGATAAGGGTTTTTTTACCCAGTTCGGATATAAACAATCCTACATCCGGGGGATACCAATCCAAGAGTAGTTATAATAATCAGTGTTGATTAAGAATAAAGACAAACCACAACTCATTCAACTCATACCTCTACAATGGTTACCTTAGAAAACTCCTCCACATACTTAAGTTGTCAAAAGCTCGTACTAACAACTACCACAGAGTAGGGCTACTCAAAATCTGGATATCTCTTCTGATCGGAATTCCGATTTCTCCTTCATCCAACGAATTCTCTGGTGGGTAAAATTTACAAGCACTCACTTAAAATATGGAAAAGAGAAGGGTTGGATTGAGAAGATTTAACACATTTTCTCTCACTAGACGCAACTCTCAAAATCCTTCACACAACCAAAGACTCACCTCACGGCATACAAGGTAGTAGCCATTCAGGCCATGTAAAACAAGTACAATTAAAACCCCTTGCGCATAAATGGTATTGTGTGTTCCTACATGAAATTTGTAACCAAGTTGACCACCCAAAACATCCATTCCATTTTTCTTGTCTGTTCACCAACCGAGAGAGAGAGAAAAACAATGTTGTTGTCAGTTTATTGCAACAACCAGATGGGACACTTTACTGCAAAAGGAAACCTGAGAAAGAAAGCAACAAGAAAGAATTGGAGTGCCCATATGCCAAAATAGATTAGGGGATTTCTTATTCCAACAGTTAAGAACGTATGTATAGGAAAAACGTTTTGTGGGGATGTTGTGATTTTATTCTAATATATGTGGGTATTTTCATGGAATACCTGTTCTCGGTGTAGTATACCTACATTTATCAATTTTATACCTATGTTGTTTGATATTTTGTACTGCATTTGTTTTCAAATATCTTGGTTTTATTGATATATACTATGACTACTTATCTATGAACTTTGGTATTTATTTCAAGTACTTGTATATTTGATAATGTTAAAGTATTATTGCTATGCAACAGTGTCTGCCGAAAATGATAAAAATTGAGAATGATTTTGCTGAAAATTAAGGCATATTCTTCATGTTGATGGCCAATATAGTTAAAACAATACATTTTTTCGGATAGACGTTAGGGCCTTCTAAAGTCCATCCCAACTGTATTTCCCGGAGCCCACCATAAATACTATCTTTGGCACTTAGTGGACAACTTTCGCACTCAGGTATATGTAAAATATATGTGTCGTTTAGCATGATATGTTCAACAAGATAATTAGATTTCTTATAGGTAATATGGAGATATCTGATGCACAACAAGAAACTATGGACGTCCATTTTCATGATTTTTGAGTAGCATATAAAGTCTATTGTAAAGGTCATGCCACTTGCCAAAACTTAATTGCACAGTCGAAGGTGAAATTCATTCACTCATTATGATCATCTAGGACACAACCGACAATTTCGCAAGAAGGCTTTATCGTAGGTATTTATGTTGTTTTCTCGTGGTTGAAATTTTCTTTTATTTCTCGAAGATACATTGAATGTGGATCTGTGTAAGAGACCATTATTGAAGGATTTGAAAATTATATTATATTTTTCTCTATATTACTGGGCATACACAATTATTATGACGGTGTACGTATCAGTCTAAAGTAATTCTTCCAAAGTACAAAACAAGAGTACATGAATCTACAATGAAAGTGCATTACATGTTATTGTATTGATATAAAATATGAGCAAGAGTAATACTTATTAACAACGATAATACATTGCACATGATATTTACTTATTAAATTCTACAAAGTACTTAAGGTTTTTATGTCATCTAAGTATTCGTTATGATATAACATAACTTATAGTGTAACCTCATCGTGTACTTGAAATTACATTAATATATCATATTTATTATGCGAGTATTTAATTTCTTCGACGAAGTTGTTACAAGGAAAGTATGAGTATGTTGTTACGTGCCTGGGACACATTATGACCAGAAATGCACATACCAATTAAAAGGTTGTGTGATTGTATATGAAAGAATTCATATTCATATACATGTATAATCTTTGTAAACACGGGTATTTAAGTATCTATAAAAAATTTGTCATTGATTTTTTCCGAATCAGACAACTATCAGCTGATTTCATCACCCCCATTTTGTCAAATGTTAGTGTGCATCAACAGATACTTCTAAAACGACCTATGAGATCATCTAACCATGTATGAATGAGAATCTCACTTAAAGATAGATATAACAAAATGTATTATGTGTTGAACCATAGTAATAGACATTTTGAAGTTAATGCATTACTGATGATGTATGATATTCTTATTTTTATTGTTAATTATTTTTAAATTATTAAAATTAGTTTAATTATTTTTGTTTTCTAATTGTTCATATTAATTTATAATTGATATAATAATTTTTCAAAATTAATTTCAATATATAAAATATTTAATATAATTTTTTTAAAAAAATAAATATCGTTATAATTTTTATTTTTTACCCAATAAAAAAATAATTAAATAGTATTATATTGCAAACATTGTATAAACTAAATCAAAATAATTAACTATATAATTCAATACCTTTCAATTTGTATGTCCAAAAGAAATGAAACTAATTTAGCGAAGCGGAGAAAATAAGTAAAAAAATAAAGTGAGAATATTATTAAAAATTTATTAAATAATTAATAATAAAATAGTGAGTAAATAGAAATAAGTATTGATAAATTTATTATTATTTTTTAAAATATGTGTAATAAAATCGCGGTAGAATAAAATTATTTATTATAAATAAATTATATAATAAATTAAATAATAACTAAAATAAATGACTTATTATATAAAAAGTTAGTCTATATTTAATACGTTCGCGTAAATTTTTAATATTAGTATTATTTTGGATTGTAATAAAAAAAATAAAAACAAAAATACTTCTATTAATATTGTATAATATAAAAATAATAATATCTGTGTAATATATTGTAAGTTGAAATAGTATTTTTGTTTTTAAAAAAAATAAAAAATAAAAAACAACAATAGAACAGAAGAAGAATATAATGTTAAATTTTATTTTATTTTATTTTATTTTATTTTTACTATTAATAGATTCAAAATTTTAAGTATATGTATGAAGCGGTCTCTATTTGTACAAGATTTTAGGTTTGAATTGTGAATTTAAATAGTAATAATAATATTTTCAACATAAAATAAAATGTTATATAATCTAAAAATATAAATATTTAGTTTAATATAGTGAAATTAAAAAGAAAAAAAAAAAGAAGAAAAAAAAAAAAGAAAAAAGAGGAGGCTACATTGAGGTATAAATAAAGAGGGGGACCGACGCTAAAATAAAAAATTAATTGGTGAGTTGACGAGACTAATCAGATATCAGAATCCCCAGTGCGCCTACGCCAACCACTCCGAATTTCCCGACAAGATCGCATCTCTGTGTCACCAAGACATGCTCAAATGATATTTGATAAACCCCATAGATTGGAATGCGCATGGCGTTGAAATCTTCTCAGTTCTATAAGATTCACCCCTTCAACGGTAAGCGAAGCCCCGCCATTGGGGCACCTTCTTTGATTGTTTGAGTACCTTCTGGGCTTCGAATCTTCCACGGTTCCATGATTCCGATTTCATTAAATTGTATTTTTATTGGTTAGAATTGCAGGCTAAGGCTATTCGCGGGAGGTCCACCGCCGAAAAAATGGTGAAGCTCGACGGCGTGAACGAGGAGTTGCAGATGATTCTCGATGCTAACATGGACGATGTGGGCGCCAGGAGGCGTGCCCGCGAGGCCTTCAAGGATATTCAGCTCTCCATCGATCACATCCTGTTCAAGGTATTTACTTATTTGGATAAGAATATATCTGCCTGTTGCTTGCTTGCCTGTGTATGTATGTATGTATGGTTTCTGTGCATTCAAATATGATTGAGGCTGTCCTGTCTGTGGGTTTGAATTTTGGTAGATAATAATACTAATATCGTTGCCTTTTCGTGCCCTTTCATTTGTTGTTGGTTTCCTCCATTCCCATTGAATCTGAGATTGGTAGCTTTGTTGCATTGTGTAGTTTAATTTGTTCATTTGACAGTTGCTGAGAATGGTGTGCAGGAATTCTATATATGTTGAGTAATAGAAGTATATCCATTTTCTAGGCCAAATAGAGTTAATATATGATGAATTTGAAATGGTTTGTAACATATATGGATGGATGGTGTTATAATATTTGCATTTGATCATGTACCAAGTGCCTCTGTTGCCTAAACTCTTGCAGTTGCTTTTTCCTAAAATATTATACTTATCTAGTTACTAGGCTGCTCGTATTTTATGGCTTAAAGTTGCATTTATTTGTCGGCATGTTATGTTGCATAAGCAACACAGTCTGATAATATGTATATATGTGTGTGTATATATTCTTTTTTCAGAATATGAGTGGTATGTAACCCATAAGGTCTAGTGGCCCTGTGTTAATATGTGCGAGATTTTGATTTCTAACGACTAGCCTGTGGTTACTCATGTTTACTTTTTTGGTGATGTTGCAGACACCTTATGATAAATTAAAGATCACTGAGGTAATGTGTTTTGTATTCAATTCATTTCCTTTTCCTCTCTCGAGTATTTACTGCTCACTTTTTATCCTTTGTTATGTATAGTTGGACTTAGTTTTCATTTTCTATTGATGGGAAAGAATGCCTTTTTTTTTTTGTTTTTTTTGCATCTATCAACAGTCATATGAAGTGAATTCACGAGGTCTAGAGATTTTTACCAAAAATTGGCTTCCAGAAAGCGGTTCCCCAAAAGCCATAATTTGTTACTGTCATGGTTACGGGGATACATGCACATTTTTCTTTGAAGGTAGATGGCTTGCAAAGATGGTTATGATCATAGCCTCAACTGCAGAGTACCGGCAATTATGAACTATAGTATTATTTCTTTGCAGGACTTGCTAGAAAGTTAGCCTCCGCTGGGTATGGAGTGTTTGCTATGGATTACCCGGGATTCGGTCTATCCGAGGGCTTGCATGGCTATGCTCCAAACTTTGACGATTTAGTTCAGGATGTTATAGAGCATTACTCCAAAGTGAAAGGTATGGTAAAAGGTTGTTTGAGAAAGGAATTTGTCTCTCTGCATCATGTCTGTTTATACATGTCTTTATTGTCATGGATCATTAGTAAAAAAACCCTTTCACAACTGCAGAAGATCCAAAATTTCAACCATTGCCGAGATTTCTATTTGGTCAATCAATGGGGGGCGCAGTGGCACTGAAGGTGCATCTTAAACAACCTGATTCTTGGACTGGTGCTGTCCTAGTTGCACCCATGTGCAAGGTACTTCAAATTTATTTCCAGCATGTAGGAGTGGCCTTTAGTCAGATTGATGGATTCTTTCTTTCTTTTTTTAATTTTATGTAGATAGCAGATGATATGGTCCCTCCAAAGATAGTGACTCGAATTCTTACTGGAGTGGCAAAAGTACTTCCGAAACACAAGCTTGTTCCACAAAAGGATATGGCTGAGTTGGCATTTCGCGATGTAGCTAAGAGAAAGCTGGTTTGTATTGATAGATAAATATATATATATATATATATGTATATAGGTAGGTAGGTATGTGTTGATTATTTTGTTGTTGATGTAGGCGGCGTACAATGTTATTGCGTACAAGCACAAGCCACGCCTAGGAACTGCATTGGAGTTGCTGAGGGTATCCACAGAGATAGAGAAGGAGCTGGACAAGGTATTGTATGTTTTTATGTAATGAAAAGAAAGCTTTGTTCATCTGTATGGATTGGATTGGTGTAGGTGTGTCTTCCATTGTTGATCTTGCATGGGGAGGAAGACAGAGTTACTGATCCGTCGGTGAGCAAGGCGTTGTACGAGAAGGCTGCTAGCCCGGACAAGAAACTCAACCTCTACCAAGCCGCCTATCACTCCCTCTTAGAGGGGGAGCCCGACGATATGATTTCCAGGGTATTCACTGACATCATTTCTTGGCTTGACGATCACACTACAACTGCTTCATCTTCTTCTTCTTCTTCTTCTTAGAGTTCTTAGTTTAGTTTTGTTAGCATCTTAGAGGAACATGGACGTGGTATATCAATATGTATCTGTGTATGTAAGCATGTATCTGAGACTTAACTTATTATTATTCATATTGTTATTGTTATTATTTCTTTCTTGATAGCTAACTCTTCATCGATTCATTGCTGCTGCCGCCATTGATGATGATTTGGAAGAAAAATTATATTCATCACCCATCTGTCTGTCTGTCTGTCTGTCTGTCTGTCTCACGGAGTTTTGACTATATAAATATAAATAAACTTGAATTGAATTGAAGAGCAGGTGATCGATGATGATCTACCAAACCACCATCATCAGCGACCATTAATGCAATGCTGAAGCTGCTGCTTCATTCTCCTTCGCTCCTTAATTTGCGGGTGATGGACTTGTTTGCCGCATGGGCTATTAGAGACAACTCTCATTGGGCTTTTTGCAATTATCTTAATCGGCTGTGTATTTGTAACCCCACCCAAAGTGATCCATTTAAATTCTTTCGAAGGGCCGGCTTCATCGGAAACCTAGAACCTGAGGTAGCTAGGGTTTCACTAAAACCTCGTTTCCCAATCCAACCTTGCCTGCCGCAGTGCTTCTTGCAGTCGTTTCGTTTAAAACTGCACTGCCTGCGTATATTCCACATTCGCCCCTGTTCCCTGGCTGCCTGCACAAGTCAATTTCCTACGTTCTGCCTACCGGAGGTACGCTTTATTTTTTTTGGTAACTTTCAAATGCGGTTTTTGTTTTATTTTCTTCTTTTTGAACATATGCTAGTCGATTTGCGCGGTTAGCCTTTCGGTCTTCAATGTCGATTATCCGTGTTTGTGTGTTGCAATCTTTGTTGTATATGTCCTGTGGTGTTCGGAAGCCCCTGTGCAATTTTATGTGCAGTTGCTGCTGCTTACTATATATGATAGATATGATATCACTGACGTATGGATCCAATATCATTATAGTTGTCTTGGATATAGTTTTACATTACTGCCCTACATGCTTATCATTTGGAGTTGATCAATTCGTGAAGCTTTGGATGCCTAAATATGTGTTATTCATTAAGATCGAATATCATAAAATCAGAAGTTAGACTTGGCTTCATTACTCGCAGTTAATTATTATTATGATTATTGTTATTACAACTCTAAAAAGCCTTCTTATGGCTGACTGATGCTATGAATGCAATGTCCTATACCATGATATATTGACAGTTGATTTTGAATTATATTGCTCCACTACTCTAAATTGCATAATTTGGAAGAACAAGATTGGTACTTATGGGGTGTTGTATTGTAGTTGCAAGATGTATACTGCATTGCAGAAAATTCACAAGGACAAGAATGTTGAACCCACAGAATTTGAAGAAAATGTTGCGCAGGTATTGTTGCCGAGAGAAATGCTGTTTCTGCTTGCATATATGCTGTGTTTGTGGAGTTTTTCAGTTTTTTCCTCCACCAATAATGAATTTTCAATGATCTACAGGCATTGTTTGATTTGGAAAATACGAACCAAGAGATTAAGAGCGACTTGAAAGATCTCTACATTAACTCAGCTATGTGGGTGTTGTGATTTTGGAATGATGGATGACTTTAATGGTATAACTATAATCAGTTTTGGATTTGTGTACTGCAGGCAGATAGATGTATCTGGTGGCAAAAAAGCTGTTGTCATCCATGTTCCTTATCGATTGAGAAAATCTTTCCGCAAGATTCACCCTAGACTTGTGAGAGAACTTGAAAAGAAATTCAGTGGAAAGGTAGTACCGATTAACAGTAGTTAAGTAATGCTGCTTCAGTAATAGGCAATTCTGTTCATGTTTCTTCAGTATGTTTGAATGCTAGGATTACAACATTATGATAGAGAAGGTAGAACTAATTATTTATGCATGTATTGTCTTTCATATTTGTCTGTTTTACAGCTTTCTTATTTTCACGACCTTTTATTGCATTGTAATTTTGGGGGATTCTTGTTTGTTGCATATGTTTGGTTTCTGATCATTTGTTGTATTCCTTGGGTGTAGGAAGTTGTCCTCATTGCTACTCGAAGAATATTGCGCCCACCAAAGAAGGGTTCTTCTGTACAGAGGCCCCGAACTCGCACACTAACTGCTGTGCATGAAGCAATGCTTGAGGATATTGTTTATCCTGCTGAGATTGTGGGCAAACGCATCAGATATAGACTTGATGGGTCCAAGATTATGAAGGTGATATCCTTTTCTCCATTTTATGTCGAAATTTCCTTCACTTGCATTCGATTGCATGGTGGTTATGCTTGTGTTATAACATTGGTATACTCTCTCTTGTTGCAGGTTTTTCTGGATCCAAAGTCGGAGAATGACACTGAGAATAAATTGGAGACATTTGCTGGTGTCTATAGGAAGCTCTCAGGGAAAGATATTGTCTTCGAATATCCCCATACAGAAGCTTAATTGTGCTTCTGTCTCTACAACTGCATCTTACATTACCTATGATTGTTTTTTTGCAATTTTTTTTCTTTATTGTTTTATCTTTTATTCGTCTCAATGTCCTAAATTTTGACCATGAACAAGTATTGACTGATTCACTGGCTTGCTTTATTGGATTATTTTTCTTGTTACATTCTTGTGGAATAAATAAATGAATTCTACAATCTTCATTTGTTGAATGCTGCCTGCTTGATCCTCCTTTTCATTTACTGAATATGTACATTTTCTATTTGTTCAAAGCAATTAAAAACATGAGGTATTAATAGAGTTGTTAAACATACCGTGAACTCGGCTTGGTTCGAGCAAAACAATATAAATAGATTCGTTTGGTTTGGTTGGTATTGAGTTTTGTTTTTGTTAAAATAATATATTTATTATATATATTATATATGCATATAAAATTATAATTTATAAATAAATAAAATATCAATTTAAAATAAATAAATAAAGTAATTTCAAAATTTGTTTTTAATTTATGTATAATTTTTTTTAAGAAAAAAGTGAAACAAACAAGTTCGAACAAGCTTAATCGAGCTGAATACGAGCTCAAACAATAAATATTCATAATGAGCCAAGCTCGAACACTGCGAACGAATTCGAAAGCTTAACGAACAAAGTTCTTTGTTCGTAAACGTTGACAAACAAACATAAACACTTGACTTGTTAACAGCTCAAGTAATTAATGAGGTGTGAGAATCTTTGTGAGGCAAGCCGAAGGAAAATTTGCATGAGTAAAATATAAACTGAACTCTCTGTTAATTATTACAAATGAGTGATCAAATTACAGTGCAGAGATCTGACGTGATAAATATACATGTAGTGTTATAATAAGCAATGCATGAAGATAGAAAAATTTGTGGTGTATCATCACGTGTGTATGGTATGTATGTATGTATTTATGCACTCAATGAAGGGGAATCAATCATTCACTCGAAAAACCTGCTGTTGATTCCTGCTCTGAACAAGTTCAAACCGGATGCGGAAGCAGTTTGGACAGCAATTTCCGTGTTTGCAGGAGCAAAAAGAACGTCACCCTCAATGACTACGAATACCTCTTTCGAAAAGGTGAGAAAGGCCCCCTCTCCTGACACCACAACAAAAACAGAGGGGCCCGGAAGTGCAGGAAAGACAGTCTGTGTTTCTCGGGGGAGAATGCATCGATCAACCTCAAATTCGTCGAAAGGAGGGACATACTTGACCGTGTAAGGATTTGATGAAGGGATTCCATAATGGATTTCGGGAAAACCCTGCAACCAAAACACATATGAACATGTAGTATGATATGTAGGTAAGGTAAAGTAGTCTTGTCTTGTCTTGTCTTTCGAAATAATGCACAATATTAATAAATAAATAAATAAATAAATAAAAACCTTTTCGAAATATAAACATGATGATGGCTCATGACTTGGCCATTTCAAGAAGTACGATTGGAGAAGATTAGATGCATCATCATCACAAAATGTAAAATATATCAAATACTAGTCAAAAGGGGAAGGGATCGATTAATCACCTGTTTGTAAGTGAGCATAGAACAGAGTGTTTGAACATCTCGATTCTTTGGGGTAAGCCCTGCTCGTACAACATTGTCTGAAGTTGCCATGCACTCAACGCATTCACCATGTATGTATGCATGAGGTTCATTTGCATCTATATACAGAGCTTCTGCAGGATTGAGCCGTACATAATTCAACAAAAAAGCTGCTATCACACCGACATCCCCGGGATATTGCTTCTCGAGTCGTAAAACAAGCTCTTCCTTGCTTGTCAGCTCCCCCGCCTGACAGCAGCAACTGAAATTTGTTGGTAAATGCAATATTAATTAAGTAGATGCTATTATATATATATATATATATAATTATATATATAATCAAAATACCAGGAAACTTTTAACCAATGTTTTGGATTAATAATATGATGATACTGATCGATTAGCGGCTATCATGCCTACGGACAAATTTTTTTAAATACCTCACATTTTCTGTTGAGTCGACTTATCAACTTGAGAAGTACTTCAGAAATTACACCTTTGCTGACAGACATGAGTTTAGTAAACAGTGATTGCAAGATATCTTTCATTTTCTTCTCCCCAACATCTTTGGTCATGTTCGATACTTGATCTGCAGCAGCAGTACCAACCACTTCAACAATTTCAGGTACATTTTGAACAACACTCTTCAATTCCTATAAACAAAGAAAACATATTTAATCAAACAAAACAAAGTTTCCAGAGGTACAAATCTAATTTCCAATTGTATAGGAAATGAAGCCAAGTCACATAAACCCAAAGAAATCAGCAAAACAATTTTCTTCATGCCCTTACTTCCACTTTCACTAATTAAGAAATTATCACAAGCTATTCCTATCAAGATAATCATGGTCCTAGCAACCAACCCAGCACAGAATCAAAAGAGAATTGAAAATCTTAGTTAGGATCACAGAATGGATGGGCACCGAACACTTGTAAAAGGCGTTATAGGACTAGAAAACAGCTACAATGAAGGTTTTCTTGCTTCCCCAAGATGCGGGTACACTCATCATTTATATTTTGACTTAAAAATGCAAATAAAGATCGTAACCTAAAACAGAGGACCTTGATCGGCTTCCATAATATAAGATGGCCACATAAAAAAACTATCTCACCGAATCTCCACAGAAAAAAAAGTTCCATCTCCTTAAAAAACATAATAACAGACCTGGACAACTTTACCCAGTTTCCCATCCACATCTGTAGCAGTTAACCACGGAGAAATTTGGGAGGAAGCATTGGCTTGTCAACATCAATCATGATTTATGAGAATTGCTCCTCGAATAAATTTTTAATGGCCAATTAATCCTCATTTCCCACTCGAGCAAATCTCAAACTAATACAGTGAAATGGTGTTTCGATATGATGATTGACGATACCTGAAGATCAACAAATCCGCATAATGCCTCAAAGTGGGTGATTGCCAAAGCCATCTCAGGCTTATGATTGGCATCCTTGTACACATCTGGCTTTCGCTTATGAAGAATTGCAGCCAAACTCTTATCGGGATGGGCTTGTATGGACAGTGCCTTTGCCACTGAAAGTACCTAAACAACAGAGAAAGCACTTTTGTGTTTGGATGTGTTTCTTATAACCCAAATTCTTTTCAAAGTAACTAAATCAACCAACATAACTTTAACAACGCCATATATAATGATTCAATCATTGCCCCTTTATTCAGATTCAAGTTTAGATTTCTTTATGGACAGAAAGTCAGCTGCCCTAACCATAAATTTAATATTCAGCCAAATCATTTATAAATCACTTTCATTGCCAATTGATGGAACACAACACGTATAGTAATTCCACTTTTTTCCATCATGCATATTAAAATGTCAATTTTCATAAACATTAACCAAATCAGTTACACACTTAGAAGCCAAAGACCTTTAGAATTCGAGGAATGAATATGTTGCCACTGAAACATCCAGATCTTTATTTGCTACATCATATTATCAACTGGAACAAAAATGATATCACTTACCTTCAAGAGGAAAGGGAGATCGGGCCCCCATCTCTGCAGCACCTTATCCCCAAGCACACTAGGGTTTTGCTGGATCCACTCCTTCAAACCAACTGAATCGCAGCACTTGAGCTTCCGACCATTCGAAAACCCACCATTTGCCTCCACCACATAGGACGGACCCGATTCGTGAGTCCCCATCCAAAACTCCGCGTACGGCTCATCCACGTCGATCTCCTGCCCATTGTTCTTCGCGTACAGGCGCGCCACACTTGATTCCTCCCTCCCTACCGTACCCCACGCGTACTTCTTCACCGAGCATTTGAGTCGAACGATTCCAGGAATGTCGGCACCCATGGACAATGCAATGCAATGCCGACAGCTTATTCAATGGGACGAAGGCAAACGCAGGAACAAGAGCAGCAGAAGTGGGAAATCGAGGAAGGCGAATACTCCCATGGACTGGGTTTTTGAAGGTAACGATCGAGTGAGAGGGGATGGATTGATTGTCCTTCCTTCCTTTTTCGCCTAATTGATTAATCTTCACACTAGGTAGCTTTGCTTTGTTGGCGTTAACGTGACGGTTGTGAAAAGGCCCCTCTCCTTCTGTAAATCCGTCTGCAGTATTGTATTGTGTGGCAGAGAAACTAAAGTCGTCGTTTACTTTGCACTAGAAACGTGGTTTTTAATTGATTGCGTCGGTGCGATTTAAACTGAATTTGAACGTGGACTCGTCTGGGCCACTGACACCCTTTCGGGCCCAACTAGTTTTTATGGCCGCATAAATTGATGTCGTTTAAATGTAATGAATAAATATTGGAAGAGTTACACGTACATTTATTTTATTTTATTTTTTTATTTATGCGTAAATAATGATTGGGATGTAATATTCTATAAAATAAAAGGACATTTGGATTTACATTGTTCTTACATATTGTTATGTACGAAATTTAGAATTAGGTTAAAAGCCCAAGGTAAAAAGAAGAATGGGCCTGGCAATAGAGTTGATTGAACTGACTGAAGGACACCATGAGGAAATCAAGGAAAATGGGTTTATTTCTAAGGAAAGACCTCAGGTTGGAAGGTCTTCAGGTCGGGAGGTCCTCAAGACGGAAAGACCTCAGGTCGGAAGGTCTTCAGGTCGGGAGGTCCTCAAGACGGAAAGTCATCAGGACGGAAGGACCTCAGGTCGGTAGGTCCTCAAGACGGAAAGACCTCAAGTCGGAAGGTTTTCAGGTCGGAAGGTCTTCAAGACGGAAAGACCTCAAGTCGGAAGGTTTTCAGGTCGGGAGGTCCTCAAGACGGAAAGACCTCAAGTCGGAAGGTTTTCAGGTCGGGAGGTCCTCAAGTCGGAAAGACCTCAAGTCGGAAGGTTTTCAGGTCGGGAGGTCCTCAAGACGGAAAGACCTCAAGTCGGAAGGTTTTCAGGTCGGGAGGTCATCAAGACGGAAAGTCATCAGGACGGGAAGTCCGCAGGTCGGGAGGCCCTCGGGACGGGAAGTCTGCAGGTCGGGTGGCTTTCAGGACGGGAAGTCCGCAAGTCGGGAGGCCCTCAGGTCGGGAAGTTCTCAGGTCGGAATTCTACGGCAGAACCAACAAGTCAGATGGTTTGCAAGTCGGGAGGATTGGCAGTCGGACCCATACTATTGTAGATTGGCAGTCGGGCCTAAAGGGCAGAAGGTCTGTGGTCGGCTCAAAGAGTGAAATATAGGGATAATTTTGGTCTGCTGAGGACGCGTGTCAGCAGGAGAAAGGGTTGGAAGACGGTTGGGAAGGAGACGTTGTAACCGTTCGGGTGACGGTTTTCGGTACGGTTTCCCAAAGAATATTTAAAGGCTTGGATAATCATTTGGCAAGGCATCTTCAATCAACTTCAACAAAGCAAAGTCAGATTTGGGGATCACCACTTTAAATTTCAGTCTTTTATTTTCCAGTTTATTTTCTGTACCATACAGTGTTTAGAGATTCCTAATCTCAGGCACTAATTAATCAAGTTTAAGGATATTTTCTATATCTTTGAATTTTACTTTATTTTTGTTGAAAAATTACATCAACAAATTGGCGACCACAGTGGGAGCAAGACAAAATTGCTCATTCCAATTCCGGCGATAATTTCATACGTCTAAGATCCGGCCGAATCATCGGAAGGGTCCATATGGCAGGTTCACAACCACAATCATCTTCGGCACCGGTGGGAGAATCCGTTCCACCACCTATTGTGCCAAATGCCGGGGAAATCCCACAACCACCAACTGATTGGTGGTCTTATGTTCAACAAATGAACAACCAGCATACTTTGGTTATGCAGAATATGTTGCGTGAGCAACAAACGAACATGTTGCGTGAGCAACAGAGTCTGATGCAGAACATGATAGATCAAGCACTGTCAAGGGTTAGTCTTCAGCCCACTCAAACGCCACCAGGAGTGTCACCGTCCAGACCACAGGCAAATTTTGCAGGGCCATCATTCGTGGATAGTACATTCCCAAGTGCCACAAATCCCAACCGAATGGATAGGGGAAAATCTCCTTTGACTTTTCCCAACAATGTTCCACTGGGACCAAGGGTTACCAATCCGCAGCCAAACAATACGAGGGAGGACAGGCCTGAAGGATATATACATGATCCTATTCATATTCCTGTGCAGGATCCGTTCCATGTTCCTGATCATCAACGCTTTCATGTAGATCCTGATGAGATTGCACATATATTAAGGGATCAGTATGGATTAACTCCTCAGATGGCTAACCGCCCTGCATATCAGAGACCTTTCCCAGAAAGGATCATTAATGAACACCCTCTCCCAAGGAATTATCGACCACCCGATTTTCATGCATTCTCAGGGGAGGACGGATCTTCCACCATAGAACATGTTGGTCGGTTCACAGCACAATTAGGAGAAGTTGGCAATAACCCTTTTTATAAGCTGCAGCTGTTTGGTTTATCTCTTACTAGAACGGCGTTTTCGTGGTTTGTAAGTCTGCCTCCTGGACAAATTCAGACATGGGAAGGATTGGAGATGGCATTTCACGCTAGATTCTTCAATCCTTTACCAGTTGTTTCTTTAACTGATTTACTTGAATTGAGACAGTATCCAGAAGAAACTGCTTCACAGTTTATAGAAAGGGTGCGATTGATGAAGGGACGATGTCCTACGGTAATCAGTGAGAAAGAGATGACCAATTTAGTGGTCCGGAATATGCATACTCGTCTAAGAAAGGCACTCACTGCCCTGGATGTTGAGGATTTGGCAAGTCTTGCATCCAAGGCAGGACGTCTAGAGTCTTTGTTCAGAGAGGAAGATCAGCATAACAGGCGTAATAGAGGCCAACATATGGCGAGTATGGGAACAGAAACATGTGACTTTGATTTTAATCAATCAGAAGAGATGGCAGCCGAAATCCTTTCTGGAAAACCTTATGTATGCCCTAAATTGAAGCCAGTACCAGGATCTGAAGGAAAGGAGCAACCGACGTTTGATAGTTCGAAAGCTGATGAAATCTTTGATATCCTACTGACTGATGGGCAAATCCGTATTCCAAAGGGGCAAAGATTGGCCACTAAAGAAGAAATCAAAGGGAGACCATATTGTAAGTGGCATAATTCTTTCACGCACACTACAAGTCAGTGTACTCATTTCAGGAAGGAAATTCAAAAGGCCATCAAGACAGGTCGGCTCAAATACATCACTCTAGGTGTAGACCAGCAACAGTTTCCGAAAGTAACAACGGCAATGGTTGACATCCAACCAAGTTCGGAAACAGGGAAAAATTCGGCCAATAGTGGACAAACAGGGGAACGAACTCATGCAAGCCCCGGAACAAAGAAAGGAAATCAGCCAAACAGCAGCCGACCGGAAGAACGATTCAAAGTTGTTGAAAGGCCAGTCGCTGAAAAATGGGACCGACCAGACGGTTCGTTTAATGTGGAGGTGAAAGAAAAGGTTGTAGTACGTGACCACCCGACCAGAAAAACAGGATCAGTCGGGAACAATTGGGCTCGAAATAAAAAGCCTTTACCCGTTGATATAGATCCTCGTTTCCCAGGTATGAATCGTACACAGATTCGCAATGCCAAACGCAGGTATGCTGCAAAGTATAGGAAACAAGTCCCTTCAGTAAAACAACGAACCGACGAACAAAAATCAGCCGACCACTTGGCAGGAGATCAGTCCATTAGAGTCTTTACAGAACAAACGACCAACGAGCAGGGAGCAGCCATTCAGTCTCCAATTGGTCGGTCCAGTCGGGTCTGGTCAGGTAAGCAACTGAATGACGGATTAGGCGCTTCCGACTATACCAAAAGAAGTTCGTCGGGACAAGGGAAAGGTAAAGGAATGGCAGATGAAATAATTAGAGGTTTTCGATGCCAACATTGTGAACGGATCAACATCAATCCATCTCTTGAGGAATTTCGCATAGAATCTTTGACGGTTCAATCTCGGGATAAGACAAAGGAAGAAGTTGTAACTACAGAGGAAAGTTCAAGATCGGTTAAATCTCGTCTGGGACCACGAATCCCTTGTCGAATGACAGAGATTAATCAGATGAGAGATGAACCGATGTGGGCAAGTCTGGTAGATGATACTATGGACGAACCTTTATGGGCATTCTTGGTAGATGATGAATTAGAGGAAACAGAGTGGGCAAAGACTACAGATTCCGAGCCTCAAACGGAGGCACCTTCGATTGTGTTTCCTCCTATTCCAGAGGGTGCGATCTCCCATTTGAAACCTCTGTATGTTAATGCTCACATATGCGGGAAACCAATCACAAAGGTTTTTGTGGATAATGGGGCAGTCTTTAATGTTATGCCATTGAAGACTCTCAAGAAGGTAGGGAAAGGAATTCATGATCTGTCTCCTGTGGAATTCGAAATGACAAGCTTTACAGGGCAGCCGACTAAGCCTGAAGGCATGATGGTTGCCACAATTGAAGTCGGACCAAAAAAGATCTCCACTGTTTTCTTTATTGTGGACGCAGATACTACATACTCTCTCTTGCTGGGAAGAGACTGGATTCATGCCTCTCAATGTGTGCCATCAACCTTGCACCAACAATTAATGTTCTGGGAAGGAAATCAGGTCTTCAAAATGGAAGCGAATGACAACCCATTTGATGTATCAGAACAAGTTGAAGAGTCAGTGTTTTATTCCAGTCATTTGGCTCCGATGTCTCAGTTGTATATGGCCAGGGAATACCCAAACAAGGGTTATAAAGTCACTGGCCAGAATTCGATGTTCTATTAAAAGAACACTTTGATTGTATGGCTTATGATAAAGCCACACCCATTCCCATATAATTTGTTTGTTATGAATGATACAAGTTTAGAAGTATGTAGTTCTCTTATTAATAAGTTCTATTTAAAGCAGTTATTACATAAAGCAGAAAATAGTAAAGAGATTTTGGATGTTCACCTCCAAGAAGATGAACAATTTCGTTGGCCCGATTTATTAGAAAAAACAGAACCAACAGCTTCATCACAAGACCCATTATTGGAGTTTAATTTAGGAACCGAATTGGTTCCAAAAGTGATCAGGCTAAGTGGTTATTTTTCTAAAGAGCAACAGACAATGATGCTCGAAGTTATTAGAAACAACATTGATTGTTTGGCATGGGATTATTCAGAGATGCCTGG